AAGGGAGGTGGTGCTCTCCCCTACCCTGGGGGTCTTCCAGAGGAGGTTAGATAGGCATCTGGCTGGGGTCATCTGAACCCAGCACACTTTCCTACCTATGCAGGGGGTTGGACTCGATGATCTATTGAGGTCCCTTCTCACCCTAACATTTATGGATCTATAATCTAAATTATTAGTGAAATTATCATCAACCCTGACACAAAGCATAACACCTAACCTCCACGGCTCTTCCCCTCCCCATGCCTCTTCCCCCACAGACTTACGTGCTGGGTGTGGGGGGAGAGGGCATGTGTGCATACATGCATGCACTCAGCTCCCCCCCAAATATTTTTTCTGCCTCTGCCTATGTATCTATCCCTTATCTAGCTAGCTATTCAATATCCTCCCTGGCATTCACCATTTTTGGTTTAAAGATACCAGAGGAAACATGTCCAAGCATTCTGTTCAATAGCCATTAATAGATTTATCATCCATGAATTTATCCAGTCTTTTCTGAACCTGGCTATGCCACCTGCCTCCACCACCTTCTATGATAATGAATTCCATAAGTTAACTGTGCACTGCATAAAAAGTACTTTCTCTTGCTAGTTTTAAACCTGTCACCTACTAATTTCAGTGGGTGTCCCCTAGTTCTAATATTCTAAGACTTGATGAACAACAGTTCCCTGTTCACTTGGTCCACAGTCTTCATGATTTTGTAGACCTCCCATATCCCCCCTCAGCCTTCTCCTTTCTGAACTGAAGAGTCCTAGCCATATTAGTCTCTCCTAGTATGGTTCCATGCCACTGATCATTTTGGTTGCCCTTCTCTATACCTTTTCTCATTCTACCGCTCCATTTGAGATGCGGGGACCAGAATTCCATGCAGTATTCAAGATGTGGGTGCACCATGGATTTGTATAGTGGCCCAATGATGTTCTCCATTTTGTTTTCAATGCCCTTCTTAATTATGCCATTGTAAATTCAGAGGTTATTAAAATTTATTCTCTGAAAGAAAATATCTATTATTTCTTGATAGAAAATATCTATAAATTCTTAGGTTGTATGGATATGTCTGGAACCTCCAAAGAATGTATGCCCTTGGCTTGCCATCTAAAACCTACTGAAAACCTAAGTCAAGGCTTGAAAATCAGGATTTTGTTCCTACTGCTTGTATTTCATTAAGATGCAAAATAATGGTTCTGTTGAATGTGTACCACATTATATTCTCTTTCATTACAGCTGGTCAGACCACAGGACAGTGTCCTCTTGCTTCTAGCTGCCAGCCCTATGGCTGTCCTAGTGCCTCGTGTAGCTTTTAGGCTGAGTCTTTACTGTTTTATATGACAGCTATAAAATCACTTTTAGCCGCAACGTGTAACAGTACCTCTTGTACCATACAGGGACCTCCTGGCCCTGAAGGGGAGCCTGGCCTGCCAGGAGAACCAGGTGAAAAGGTATGTGGTGAACTTATTTTCTTCTGTGCCCTCAAACTACTTCACTCATTTTAGTAAAACCAGATCAAGTCTCAAGTGTTAATTTGGCTTCTCAAGAAAGTAAGCAATAATAAAAAGAAAATGAAACTTCCAAGAAAAATTATGCATCCTTTTCATCAATAACATGACTAGGAAAGGACAAGGGAGATTCTAACCACAGACACCAGTTTAGGGAGCCCAGGCCCTGGCAGCCACAGCCAGGCAGTGTGCAGGGAAGCTGCCCTGGCCCTGGCCCTGACCCCAGCAAGGCAGTACACAGGGGGCCTGCCACACACCCAACCTCAGCAAGATAGTGTAAAGGGAGACAGCCCTGGCAGCAGCAGCTGTCAAGTAAAAGCCTCCCGTGCTTTCTTCAGCCACTGTTGTCCTCCCCTCTGTAGCTGTCAGATACTTGGCACAGCATCCTCATTGTGCCCCCTCCCTCCCCCCTGTGTCTGCTCAGGGTGCAAAAATCACTAGTTTCACCTCTGCTCTTCATCCCTGTTGCCATTAGTAATGCTTGTCATCATTAGAGGCGTTGCTCCCAGCAGCTGACTGTTTTAATTTCCACATGGTATATTCCAGGGAGACATCGGACCTGCTGGTAAGGCTGGTGAACCTGGAGAACAAGGTTTAAGGGTGAGTGACAAATATGAATCTATTTCCTAAAGGGAAAGTGTGTTGAATTTCAGAAATGTCTTTGTGTACTGAAGTATAATAACCTTTGTGTACCAGAGCAATTTAATCAGGAATCTCTGATATTTTTAAAGAGAAGTTTTGTGTTGTAACAGATTAGTGGTCTGAGCATGTAAGTAGGAGCCAAGAACTCCTGACAATCACACTTAACTTTGAAGGTGGCACCTTTGCTAACTCAGGGCATGTCTACAAAGCACAGTGCTGCGCGACCCAGCACCAAACAAGCTGGTTCAGGTATCAGAGCGGCATAGGTGAGTTAACCTAGCCTGTCCCCCAGGCTAGGTTTCAGCAGGATTACCCTTTGTGAACTACTACACTAATGCATTTATATTGCTTCCAGTGCCTGAACTGCCTCATTCAGAGCTGGTTCAAATATCTTGGTATGGCACTACACTGGGCTGCTTAAAACACACACTTATTTATTCTCTGTATCCTCATCACTGCCCAACAATTCACCAACTTTTCTAGGGTGATGATTGTGTGTAAAATTCTTTGAAGGTGGATTACTAAAGTGACCATATGTCCTAGTTTAGCCAGGACAATTCCATATTTCAGAGGCCATTCCTGGCTGACTCTTGGGAATTATAATGGGCATCCCAGAAATGCAGGGGCACAGGGTGCAGTCTGGCTGAGAGTCAGAGTGGCATAGAGTGCATTGCAGGCAGGCGCCACTGCCTGCCCAGTATGCCATCCCACCCCACTTCTGAGAGTGCAAGGAGGGGGGAAGGCAATGTCCCAGATAAATATCTCAGATGTTCCAGATTTCCTAATGGTGAGCCTAATTATTAGGGACCTAAGCAAAATAGTGAGTTTGCAGATCTAATAGAAAATGCACTGAAATGCGTATCAACCAAAGCAATAGTTTTCCTAATCAACATAAACTGAAATATGTAATGTAAACTTAAGTTGCGGATGGTTCTGTAGGGAATGGGCCTGAGGAGGGAGCTGCTTTAATTAGCTAGGAACTGGGAGACCAACCTAGCTTCTGTTAGAAGATGAAAAATTACTAAAATGAATCAAATGTTTTATTTTCTTCCTGTTGTAACAATATTATTATATTTTCTCACCTTTCATCTTTTGAGTGTAGTCCTACTCTGGTTAGCCTTATCTTCCCACTTTGGGTTAGTTTCTCTCAACGACTAATGATTTTTCCTTGTAAGCGTATCAAGTGGTTTACTTGGATCAGCTTTTTGCATCAGTTAGCTCTGATTTCCTAGACCTGAGTCCCCCTTTTTCTTTCTTGAACTTTGGGGTTTTTCATAGCTGGAATCAGAGAACTGTGGAGAGTTTAGGATAACATAGTTATAACAAATTTTCTCTAGAAAGATTGTCTGCAACGCTATAAACTAGACGCTTCCTAATTTCACTTTTAGATTATGGTTACATGTTTCATTAATTCTTCACTACTACTTCCATTTCCTTTACAAAATCGCATTTGAGGTAGGTTCCAAGATTCTGCTAATTCTATGAGAAGAGTTAGTTCCAGGCAGTAGTCGATATTAAATAGTAAACACTTGTTGGACCACCATGTCATACTTCAGTTATTCTTTATATTGTGGTGCACTTGCTGTTTGCTGTACGTTCAAAATATGGTTTTTGAGTGTTCTGTTTCTTTGAGGATCAAATTCTTAGGTAATGGACACATGATTGGGTTAACCCACAGAAAGTCAAGTTGTCCTGATTAAACCAAGATGCAAACAATGACACTAAGGATAGAAGTTATGTAGCCTGGTGTAACCCTGCCCCAATGGTGGCCAATTTACTTGTGGACCAATTAGGGACCATTTTCTCATGTTGTCTAAAGCTGTCTTTCAAATACACAACCTGGTTGCTTGGGTATAACTGTCACAATTAGATTCTCTCCAGGCTTTTGCCTCAAGCTGTGCTTATGCATTACTGTATCTTTTAGCCTTAAAGAGCTAACTACTAGGGCTGTGTGAAACGGCACCATTTTGTTTCAATATCCACTTCACCATTTTGAAGGGACAGCGTTTCATTTTGTTGTTTTGTTTCAAAGAACTCTTCCATTTTGTTTTGTCGAAACTGTTTCACTGTTTCAACACATTACAACATTTTGCCCATAGGCTAAAATGGGGAATCATTTTTTCTATGCCTATAACTTTGTCATTTCTTACCTGATTTGGATGAAAATTGCAGGGATGGTAGCCCCTTCTGAGGGCATGAATCCTGACATCGTTCAAGGAGATAGGTGCAGGGGGGGTGGGTTGTGAAACTGCACCTCAAACAGTTGAAAGCAAAACTCGTATCACTTGCTGGCAGCAGCAGCCTCCTGTCATCTCGCATGCAGATCTGGGGGCCTGCACCCCCGGGAGGGCTGTGCCAGACTCCTCCTGGGGGCGTGGTCCCCCAGATCTGCATGTGGGATGACAGGAGGCTTCCCCTGCTGCCTGGGACTGGTGCTGGGCAGGCTAGTGCTGCCGCTGGCCCCAGGCAGTAACAGCAACCTCCTGTCATAGCACATGCAGATCTGGGGTCCCACGCACCACAGAAGGCCCACACTTCATGGTAGCATTGGGAGGGCAGGTGGGGGAGGCTACAGCAAATTTTGGGGTGGCAGCAGCCCCCCTTTCATCGCTGTGACCTGCCACAAGCTCTGGGAAGAGCCCAGTGCCACCCCTGCTGCAGCCCTGGGAGCAGTGGATGCTGCCTGCCTGTAGCCGATGGACTGCACCATGCCAGGGGGGTCAGGGCATGATACAGCCCAGCGGTTGCAGGCAGGCGGCATCCACTGCTCCTGGGGCTGCAGCAGGGGTGGCACTGGGCTCTTCCCAGAGCTTATGGCAGGTCACAGTGATGAAAGGGGAGGCTGCTGCCACCCCAGAATTTGCTGTACCCTCCCTAGCAGCTCTGCCAGCCCCACAGAACTGAGCCTGATGGCGAGAGGTGGGGGAGAGCCAGGGCTGCACTCAGAGTCAGGGCTGTGCTCTGAGCAGCTCTGCCACTGGCTGTCCTGCCACTGGGCTGAGCTCTGTAGGGAAGACCCCGGCACAGCCCCCCAGCCCGCAGCCCTCCCATTGCAGCTGGTGCTGGTGGCCCCCCGGGAAGAGCTGGGGGAAGTGATCAGAGACCTGGGGGAACGATCGGGGAGCTGGGGAATCCAACGGGGAGCTGGGGGAATGTTCAGGGACCTGAACATTCTCCCAGCTCCCGGTTCAATTTTCCAGCTCCTGGTTCATTTCCCCCAGCTCTCTGATTGCTTCCCCTGCTCTTCCCAGAGGGCATGGCCCCCCCAGATCTGCACACTGCAGTTTCAGTGGCAGCCTGCTGAAACCCCATGGACAGATCAGGGGCTCACGTCCCCCAGGAAGAGCTGAGGAAATGACCGGAAGGCTGGGGAATCGAACAGGGAGCTAGATGTCAGTATCACAGAGCAGTTCTTCCCCACTCCTCCCCCTCCCTCTCCCTCTCCTCAGTTTCTGTTTAGCTGCAGCAAGCCCAGCTTCAAAACTCAAAACGTGACAAAACTTTCAAAACATTTTGAGTGCTCCTGTTTCATTTTGAAGCAAGGCAGCAGCCCTAGATTTCAGGAGGGTGGACTTCAATGAGCTAAGGAGAATAGTCGGGGAAGCAGAGGTCCCAGATGGGAGGGGACCCAGGTGTCCAAGAAAAGTGGTCACTCCTTAAGGAGATGATCCTCCAGGCCCAAAGGGAGGTAATCCCAACATGGATCAAAGGGGGCAGGAGGGCGCAAAAGCCCCCATGGCTCACCAAAAGCATCCGGAAGTGTCTCCTAGCTAAAAGGGAGGTGTACACCCAATGGAAGGGAGGAGCCATCACCAGGGAGGATTATATTGCGGTTCCTCGGGGATGCAGGGGGATAGTCAGGAAGGCCAAGGCAGAGATGGAACTGGGACTAGCTTCCCAGAGCAAGGACAACAAGAAGTCTTTTTTTAAATACATAGGGAGCAAAAAGAAAGTTCCAGGTAACATGGGGCTCCTGCAGGACATGCTAGGAAATGTGGTCGTCACACCAGATGACAAAGCTAACATATTTAATGATTTCTTTGCCTCCATTTTCCTGAGCAGGGACCAGAACAGCCACCCCCCCTCTGGGCCCCCCTCAGACGCCAGGGGAGTCGCACCTAGGCCAAGGGTTAGTGAGGAACTAGTTAGGGAACTTCTGGAGGGATTGGATGTATTCAAATCAGCTGGTCCGGACAATCTCCACCCTAGAGTACTGAGGGAATTAGCTGAGGTCATTGCAGGACGCCTGGCACAGCTTTACAAGCACTCATGGTGCTCTGGAGTGGTGCTAGAGGACTGGA